TGGATAACTTAATTTTCTTGACAAAATGAGTAACTAACTTAGTTTTTAGTTTGAATAACAAGAAAGTTATTTATATTAAAACTCACTTCTTTACCTATGAATGATTTTCCTTATTTATGTACAAGTAAATTTACTTTTTGTGTAGAACATCATTGAATAACATTTTTTCCTTTAATTCAAAAGTATTTTTTTAAAGTAACTCTTACGTTACTATTGGAATAAGTAACTTAATTTTTATCTTTTAGTATAAAAATATTTATATTAAAACTTTTTTCATTTTCTTTTAAGAATATTATATTCATTTTATGTAATAAAAAAAATCCTTATAAGATTTTTTACCCATTTTTTTACATATATGTAAATTATTTATTTGTATAAAAACTTATGTGCTTATCAGTAAACTTATGTATTTAATTTAACTAATTTTCTCTATTATGTGGTATGGCAAATCAATAATCCGAAAGAAAGAATTTCATAAAGCATATTATTTTAGTGAGGGCGAATCCAAGGCGGGCTAATTTTTTTTATTATTATTTTTTTGGATTGGTTGACTAAAGAAGGATAAAATTCCTAGATTAATTTAGCTTGGGACTTATTTGCACCAAATACCTAATAAAATTAGTTTAATCTATATTTAATCTAATATGACAAACCAAACATGCCCATATGATACTTTATTACTATTGTACATCTACCTTGATACAAAAGATTAAAATCAACAAAATGTACTCGCAAAGCTGTCCGACATATACAATCATAGGTAAAAGTAAAATTCCACTTTGCTTGATACGAGAAATAATAATCAAATTAAAATATATATGGACTTTGAACTCATCTAAATAAAGTTGACATTTTAAGATGAAAATCATATCTAAAAATGGTATCAATTTTTTTTTTTTTTTTAAATGGTTCAAACAAAAAATTCAATTCGTTTTAGGCTCAAACGAGGTCCATATCTAATATTAGTGTTTTTAAATGGATCACCATCATAAAACATAACAATCAATGAACTCCAAAATTCAATGGTCATCACCTGCTACGTCTAAAATTTATCCCAATTGTCACTTCGTGAAAGTGTAACCAAGTCAATCATTCCGAATTATCTTCTTTTAAATTTGATTTAATTTTTTTTTTCGGGAAATAAGGAAATTTCTGAGGATGGAGTAGGAGACGTGATGAGTTAAGAGTCTTCGACCTTCATTTTTCTTTCTTTTTCAAACGATGGTTGTCTTTTTTGGACTATCATCGGAGGAAATTTTGCTACAGTTTTCACCAATTTGTATCCAGTCAATCATTCCGAATTATCTTCTTTTAAATTTGATTTAATTTTTTTTGGGGAAATAAGGAAATTTCTATGGAGTAGGAGACTTGATGAGTTAAGAGTCTTCGACCTTCCTTTTTCTTTCTTTTTCAAATGACAATTGTCTTTTTTGGACTACAATCGGAGGAAATTTTGTTACAGATTTCACCAATTTGATTGGATAGCCATACTATCTATACAAGCATGGATATTCATATGATATTTGATTTACAGTTGGTTGGCTAAAAGTAAAATCCTTCCCATTTTTCTATAATTTCATAACCTCTCATTCACGTAGATGTGTGGAAAGGTTTAAATTGACTCGTGCTAATTACAAAGTGCCTTTGGCAACCTTTCTTGACGAATGTGAGGCCGGGCCCACCCACAATTTGTCTATGTCAGTGAGGCTCATTAGGAATTTTCTAGTTGGATGATTGTATTGAGTCTCACGAAATTTGTAGATCATAAATAAGTTGTAGTTATGATGTGCAATTAAAATTAAATATCGACTTTGAATCGGAAATGACATAATCTAATAAATGTATTAGAGTGGAATTTGGTGTATTGTTATAATAAGACGTATGTTACGTGTCCGTCAGTCAAGCAAAAATGTCATGCAAATTTTT